TCCTGACCTCGTGATCCTCCTGTCTCGGCCTCCCAAAGTGCTGGGATTACAGGCTTGAGCCACCGCGCCCGGCCTATGAATTCTTTTAAGAAAATACTCAGGAGTGTTTTTAAAACAAAGTCAACAATAGGATGTTCAATTAAAGGAAACACTGAATGAATGGCAAATTGGAGCAGTGTTTTCCACTCCTCAGCTCTTTATTTCATAAAAAGAACTTCTCACCAGAAACTAGATGAACAGACTTCCACAAGGTTAGAAGAAATGTAAATGATTTACCTTCTTAAGGCAAAAAAGACAAACAGGATCACCCATCAGATTGGGGGAAAAAAAAGCTTAAAAGTCTGATAACACCAAGAAGTTACTAGAGGCTGTGGGAAAAATAGGAATTTTTGCTCACTGCTGGTAGGAAGATAAATTTGGACAGCCATTCCAGAGAGGTACTGGCCTATCTGCTAAAACGGAAAATTCACATACCCCATATAGTAGGAACTCTGTTTTTAGGTGTATATCCTAGAGAAACAGACATGTGTTCAAGGGAACGTATACAACAATGTCCAACACAGCGTTATTTTTACCAAAAGCTGTCAGCAACCTTAATGTCTCCAGCATGCAACACCATTCTTAACGTCTACAGATAGAGGAACGGACAAACTGTGGCATAAGACAGACAATGAAAGGTCATACTAAAAATAAATGAATTAGAACTATATACATTAGGGATATAATAGTATAAACAGACTGGAAGAATAAGAAAGTGAAAAGGGAGTTGCAGAAAAATGTAAGTAGAAATGTCTTTTATGTAAACCTTCAAAACACAAACAACATTATGTTTCCTATGACCATGTATGTATTCATGTAATGAAGTGCACGGAGTAGAAGGCTACACATCAAAGTCATGACAGTGCTTGCTGCCTCTGGGAAGAACAAAGTGGACTTCAACTTTATCAGAAACGTTTTATTTGGAGAAAAAAGATCTGAAGTAAACATGAATATGTAAATTTGGGGTGGAGGATATGGGCATACTGATTACTTAATTCTCTACCTATGTTGCTGGAATTTTAGAGTATTTCTAAATTTTAAAATAAGGTTATTCAGAAGGTAGAATGAAATGATAAACCATATGCAACTGATAAGTAGGAAGTTTTAAATAAAAAATTACTATATCGTACATGGTTTCTGTTCAAAGACTGTGAGTATGGTAAAATACATTTACCATGTACTTGAATAACACAGCTGATGTAAAGAAAACAGTCCCTTGACCAGGCGCGGTGGCTCATGCCTGTAATCCCAACACTTTAGGAGGCTGAGGCGGGTGGATCACAAGGTCAAGAGATCGAGATTGTCTCGGCCAACATGGCGAAACCTCATCTCTACTAAAATTACAAGGAATTAGCTAGGTGAGGTGGTGGGCGCCTGTAGCCCCAGCTACTCGGGAGGCTGAGGCAGGAGAATCGCTTGAACCCAGGAGGCAGAGGTTGCAGTGAACTGACATCGCGCCACTGCACTCCAGCCTGGTGACAGAGCAAGACTTCGTCTCAGAAAAAAAAAAAAGAAAACAGTACCTTAATCAAGTATTATAAACCACAGTGTCACAAAGAGGAAACAGTGTAGTTTTCGGTAAGCAGACAGATCTGGTTTCCCAGGTTAGTTATTATTAGTTAGTAGCTAGGTAAGTGATTTAACCTCTCTGAGTTTTAGCATCAGCCTCCTCATCTATAATATGGATATAGATATGGATAACATTTACCCCCAAAATCAGAAGCAAAATGAGAACAAGTTAATAGGATGCCTAGCTAACAAGACAGCTGTTGTTGTTCATAACAACACTTCAACTAAAGAATAATAATCCACAAGGGGACGTGGAGACCAGCAAAGGACAGCCAAAGGACAGACATTTGTGGCTGTCTTCCGCATTTGGCCAAGGCAGAGACCTCGATCTCAACCTCTGGATTCAGCGGGTGAAACAGAAATTAATCTTGAGTGAATTATACAACACTGGGATCTGCCTGCTGCTTTACAATATTCCAGGAAGAGAAATTAAGATGAGTAAAATGCTGTTAATTGTTGAAACTGGGTAATAGGCAAGTGGGATTCATCACAATATTCTCTCTACTTTTCTGTATGTTTAAGAAAGGAGGGAAGGAAAGAAGAAACAAAATAAAATAACCAATTTTCAAAAGCAAGTTAACCTAGAATGAAGACAAATTCCCCCCGGCTCTCCTGGTTTGGTTGAAATATCCCTTATTACCCACATCTACATCTCTGTTTTTGTTTTTTTTGAGACAGAGTATTGCTCTTGTTGCCCAGGTTGGAGTGCAGTGGCGCGATCTTGGCTCACGGCAACCTCTGCCTCCTGAGTTCAAGCAATTCTCCTGCCTTAGCTTCCCGAGCAGCTGGGATTATGGGCACGCGCCACCCCTCCTGGCTAATTTTGTATTTTTAGTAGAGATGGGGTTTCTCCATGTTGGCCAGGCTGATCTCGAACCCCTGACCTCAGGTGATCTGTCCTCCTCGGCCTCCCAAAGTGCTGGGATTACAGGCATGAGCCACCACACCTGGCCTACATCTCTGTTCTAACTGCATGAACTTCATTCTGCAGGGACCTGTAGATTTTCTGTAGCCACAGAGCAGGGCAAGGTCATCCTCCTAGTGATGTGGAAATATGGAAACCCTTCTTACTGATAAAGAACTTTTCTGTATATTTACAAAAGAAAAAAAAAAACCTTAATGTAGCAAAACTTTTTGGGGGTGTGGCAGAAACTGCTAGTTGAACCCCAATATCTATTATTTCCTTCTCCTCTCATGTAACAGAGCCCCCAGTTTTCAGCTGGGGGAA